GACTTCATTCAGTGTTTGGAGGAGGCGTGGTTTTGAGAGCGCTCTGAAGGGAGGGTGGGATGTTATGATTTGAAAGCTAGCTAGCTATTGCTAGCCTCTCCAAAGATCACCAACTGCATTTTAAGGATGTATAACCCAGAGGTCCCCAACCACTGGGTTGCGTTCCAGTACCGGGCCGTGAAAGAGTTGATACGCTCTGGGGAAAAAAACATCTATTTTATATGCCTATGCCACTGTATTGTGCATTTCCCCTTCACTGCGTGATTTCAGAAAACTGCATAGTCTGTGACCCAATTGCAAATGTGTCTCGCAAATGACAGTACAAAAACGTATGAAATACGTGTTTCAGATATCAAATACAGATCCATTGCAACATGCTTCGAGACTCACTGTCACCCACGCCTCTTCTTTAGGAGCGTAATATTGCAGGGAAACAAGCAATGCTTGTGCATTATGGTGAGTCGTAATGTTTTGTTATGGTTTGCTGTATGCAGTTGAAATGGAGACACAATTTGACGGTTTTATGTTTATTAAATGTCTGCTCTGATCGACTCCTGTTCCCACCTGCCGGTCCATGTGAAAATTTTCAAAACAAAACCGGTCCGTGCTATGAAAAGAGAGACCCCTCTTTTAAGGGAATTTTAAGGGAAATTGTGTGCAAATTCTACAGAGCTATGATGGAATCTGTCCTGTGTTTTTTTTTTATCCATAAAGATTTTAAATGCAATCTGACTTATACACTCAAGTTATCTTTATCATTCTCTGTTGTGTAAAACTGTAATTTAGTGCACTATTATTTTATTTAAGCATTTTTGTTGTTGTGCTGTTGTCTGCGAAGCACTGTATCTGGTGCCTGCAACTATTATAATAGATGTGTGTGCCTCATACCGGTGACACATTCCTTGTATGTTTTGCATACTGGTTCAATTTGTGTGATTCCCAATACGGATTCCTTATTTTATACCAAATTTAGATTTTATGAAAATTAAAATTAGAAATATCATATGTTCAAGCAATTTCATAAAGGTACTTTGGAGAATAAATTATTTTCGCTGATGAATCAGCATCATTTCTGCTTTTTCATCTAATGTTTTCAGAGTTTGTTGCATTTTTACCAGTTACACGATTGTCAAATTGCTTCAATTTTTGCCCAGCGAAATCCATCACGTGCCGTAAAGCCCCCTTATTATTCTTCTCTTCTCCAGCTTTCCTCAGATCCTTCAGGTTCTTCATCCATTCATCTTTTCTCTCCTCCTTCAGCCTGGGAATCAAGAAATCCAGATGTTGAAGAGTGAAAGCGCTGTCTGATTTTAACGCGATCTCGGACAGACTCGTGATGGTCACATAAGCTTCATGCAGCAGTCGGGACTTTTCATTTTTAATCTTCTCAAGATCGCTCTTCAGATTTTGTTCTATTTTTGTATTATTCTCAGACTCGTTCATGGCTTGTTTATGTTCCTTTGTAATATTTTCAAAGATTTTTTTATCAAAGTTGGTTTTAGGCTTTTCACCAGTGCGTTCATACTCCTGTTTTAGGTCAACAAATGTCATAGTGATTATCTTTGTCTCTGTCACATATTTTTTGTTCTCTCTGACATGTTTGCTATAATGACACTTCCCTGTACACACAGTGCATTGACTGTTTTTCATGACTGAACACGTTGAAGGTTCTTCATCCATTAAGCAGCTCTCATGACAGTTTTCCTCACAGTCGGAGCAGGATGTTACATTTCTCTTCCACAGCCATTCATTTTTAGTGGAGACTTTTTCTTTCACAGCTGTTTTGACTGTAAACTGAAAGTTTTCACATTTCTGAATCTTGTGTCTGAGATCTTTGACAGCTTCCTGAATCTGACTCAGTTCTTTCATTTTTGACTCCTCCTCAGAGATTCGCTCCTTCAGATTGTCGACACAGGCCTCGAGTTGTTTTTGCTCTTTCAGAACATCTAATGTCATCACAACACTTTTTCTGTTCTTTTCTTTCAGGAGTGTGAAGAACTCATTGATGCTTTCTTCTCCCATTTCCCATGATGATCTGAGTATCTGATCATATTGTTTGTGTCTTTTTTCTTTCTGTTGGTTGTTGAATAACAAGTAAACAGGTTGTTTTTTCCCATCTTTTCTGCAGGGAATCTGTGCTTTCTTAATTACATTGAGAGCATCTTTTGGATGTTGCCCATTTGACTGTGTGAGTAGAAACACTATGTTCTCCTCTATATCTCTACCAAACAGAGACAGAACTGAGTGAAAGATGTAAAGCTCTTTTCCAGAGAGTCGATTCTGAAACGCCTTCATCACAAAACACACTGCATCAATATAATGAATCCCAT